TTAAAAACGTTCTTTATAAATAAATCGCTTTGTATTCAAAATACATTTTATCGTTTTATGCGTATTAGAATTTAGAAATTATGAATTTACGTATGATACACGGCGAAATATTATTTTTTTATTTTATTAATATATAAAAGAAATATTAAATAACCAATTTTTATTACATGAATAGCGGATGAATTATTACCGAAAAATATCGCAAATAAATGTGTATGTACAATGATCCAAAAATTTTATGAACTTCAAAAGATTTTTTAAATCAGCTGCATTTTAGTATTTTATACTCAGATTTAAACTTATAATATACAAAGAAACTTTAAATTAGCTTGTTTTGGGGTTATTTTATACTACTAAATTTTTGATGTGAAAATTTTTAGGAACCACTGAATTAAAAATATTATTTTTTATATATAGAAAAATTTTTTACTCTCCTGAATTTATATATTCTTTAATGAAACTTTATAATAGGTAGTTTATGTTATATCATTTTATAGTAAAATCCTATTGCAGTATAATATAAACCAAAACAGAAATTATCTACACAATATTAATGAAAAACATAATAAATAAAATGTACATTATGATCACATCATTTAGACCATTACTTTGTTCGATCCTATAGCGCATGTTTGCAGAATATATAAATCATTCATTTCGTATTACACAAGATCTTGAAATAAGAGGAAAAAAAGAAGTAATAAATCTTATTTCATCTAATTAAATTTGATTTTCTTTCATTTAGCGTTGTACATTAATCTATGTTGTTACCTAGTCTTCGCAACTTATCTTTTTTTTTTTTACAAAGTTTTTTACATTACGATTTGAATTTAATTTCAGTGCATAGTCAATTTGCATCGTACTATGTACATTTCATAGTATTTTAAACTTCCAAAATATCATTGAAAAACGCGCACGCTGTACACACTGAACATATTACTCAAAATTACAAAATCTCATTACGCACTTTAATACAATTTGGTCTTTGACAAAAACCGCTTTCGACATAATAGAAATTTATATACATTTTAAAATTAAATACAATTTCAATTTTAATATTGTTTACGATATAATTAGATAGATCATAATGTTATTTACTATTTTATTTTACAACTTATATATGCCATGATGATAACATAATATGTTCCCTATTTGTATTTTTATTCAATTACCTCAGTGGTATACTCGAGAGAATGATGGATTTCTTCTCGTTCTCCTAAAAAGTCGAACTTTGGTATTTATAATTGCATTTATAAAAATTGAAATTGTTAAATTAGTATTAAATAAAATAAACATTTTATATTACTGATAAAAAGTTCAAGAAATCCATGAATGTGGAATTAAAGAGCCTTTAGACAATCGTATCAAAAATTGTGTTAAACGTTGTTAAATGACCCTCTCCTCAGTTGAGCTTCAATTACAACGCTGTAGTAATATTTAAATATCACACCAACTTAAGTTTTTTATTTATTTATCGAAAATTCATAATATATACTCACGTAGTCCAAAGGAAATGGGCTTTTGTGTTGCAATTAAAAAACAGACCAGATAGGACAAAGCGCACACAATTCCTCTACATTGTGTACTTGTTAATATATATAATATCAAAACTATTTCGTCCTCCCGCTCGGGTGTTGCGTCAACTGCATTTTAATCGCCTCCTCCCCGCCGCCGCCGCCACCACAAACAAATAGGTCATACGCATACGTTGGCTATGTACGCACTCGACGTATCCTAACCTGATGACATTCACACAACTCAAATATTGTATTAAGCATTTAGTGAAATATTAATGATATTATAGTCAAAGGTGAAAAGGTTATTGCAATAGTTACTTAAACAGTTAACCTATGGTTAACTATTAATTATTAATTAATTATTAAACTGACTAACTTGGTAATAAAAAAAAATTTTCGAAAAAATATTATTTTCATAAGGTTTCTTGTGTGTATACACGTAGATTAAAACTAAATGTACTCCCAGAAACCTGCTGAGTAATATTAACTTATTTCAAATTAATTTCTACACATTTCGTCATCTGTCTATATATAGAATTTTTAGTTTCAATCTGAAAACAATAATATTAAAATATGCCTATTAAAATTTTGTTGTACAATATGACTGCAGCATGGAAGCAATTTAATAACGCATGTACTCGTTTTTGCAATTGCTGTACACGATTCGTATGTATGCCAGATGATGTTTAAACATTTTTTTTTTTACAATCCACTATAAATAATTCAAAAAATTAAATTGTTTAAATAATCATTCTGTCACCAATGTAATGGTTTTTTTTTCTATGTATTAAAATTTCAAAAAAAAAATAGGCGAGTATTCCACTCGTTATACTTAATATTGTTTATATACCATTTAGGTATTGTTTATTATTCAGTAAAATACCTTGATAATTATTAAATCATTGATTTTATACAAATTTCATCGTAAATTAATTAAATCTTATAATTATTTAAATTATTTGTTAGGCTATTATGTAAAAAATGGACTTTTTGCACCGTTATATTTTTCATAATCAATAACATAACTGTAATAATGTATAATTTCATCATCCCTAGATCTCATCTATCTCTCGCCGTTTAATGGTTGATAGCATTTTCATTATATGCAAAATTATAATAATGTTTGATGGCTAATCCCTTATTTTTTTTTTTTTTTTTTTTGTTCATTATCCATCACATAATTATGTATAGGTAACAATTATAACTTGTTAAGTAACAGCTTTTATATTTCGTTCTCGTATCACGAAAATGTCAGTATTAAAAATCGGCGTCTACTTATATAATAATGTATAGATAGAAATTTTTATTAAATAATTATAAAATATTATTATTACATAAACGAAGTGGTAGGAATATATAGCGGCAAACAAGTGAACTCTGATAACCACAAAATAGTGTATGCGCTCATTTAGGTTTGATATCTGCAGTTTGGTAAAGCATACTCGTGAGTAGATTTTATCAACAAGCGATTATTATTGATTAATCAAGTTGTATGCGCCCTAGGTAATTTTAGTACAAAAGGAGATAATTTTATTGGTGCCGTTGGTGGACTAAGTGATTTCAAAAATGAATTTTAAAAATGAAATGTTAGACTAGTAAGTGTATCTGCCGTGCTAGTAATTAAATATGTACCTTAAAATGTTTAAGTAGTTTATTATGTGCAGAAAATAAAATAAATATAAATATTAAAATGTATTTAATTGAATATATTTTGTTTGTATAAAAAAAACTGGCCACTTTATTATTACATTGTCAAAACGCAGTAATATTACTCGTTAATTTGAATTCTTAATTAACATTGATATTTTTAGAAAACTTAAGACACTCAAAAATCCCTACTCTTTTTAGTTATTATCGTATTTTTAAAAATAATTTATAAATAATGTAAATTCTTACATAATTCTTGCATTTTCGTAATTTTTATCCTATTTTAATTATTTCTGGTAATATAATATAATGTTTATGTGTTCAAATTTAGCTATATATATTAATAAACACAATATCATAATATATCTGCCCTTACAATTTAATAACAGACCAATAGTACATAAATTAACCCAACTATTTAGATACTTCAACTATCATTCAACTGTATTTTTTTACAAGAAATATGAATACAGTTACAAACCTTACAAATATAAATTATAGGTACATAGCACAATATAATATTAACCGAAAAAGTAATTTTTCGGATGTCAAGTAATAATAATATTTATATTTTATAGTTTATATTTTACTTTATTGTTTTGACCGCAAATGTATACACATTACATGCATTATATTTTGCCCTAAAAAATCTAACTATTACACCGTATTTTCACCGGTCTCCCATCGATCTGCGCGGCGGTGGCGTTATAAACGTTTATTATATATATATACACACATACCGTTTTTAGTATGTTGAGTCGGGTCAAAAGCTAACACTGGTCGATCGATAGCGTTCGCGCAAACGCCCTGACACTCGGTTTCTCCGAGCAAGTTAAAATGCGTACTTACACACTCAGAGATTGGGGTAAAAGTAGTTGTGGCGTGGGTGGCGGTGGCTACGTCAGTGGCGGACGAGTAGTGGTGTACTGCAGATTTTGAGTCTGAGTAGTAGCGTGGGCCTAAGAGTAAATCGCAAACTAGACTCGTTATAATAACGAGTTTTTGAGCATGGCAATAATAATAATAATATATTGTGACTGTCCACAGTCTATACCTATAATATTATTATGCTATTAGGATTTTGAAACACATGGAAATACAACCCGGGTTATTGAAAACTTATACTAAGTGGAATTGCAATTTGCATGCAACTGGTCTAATACTAAAGCACAATGTTATGACAATATAATAATATTTAATGATTTAAAATAAGATAATAATTATATTATATCATACGCGCTGCAGATTGCAGCTGGTGGTGGTTGCATGTCATATATTATTTTATATTTAGATAATACTATTATAATAGTACGTATTATTATCCCGATAAATCGATACGGTTATAGCAAAGTAAATATTATGATGATATATGTATAAAAAAATATGAATCTCAATTACCGTTTATGATGTATAAAATCAAGTAATTTTCAGTAAACTTGTAGTAAAAAATAAAAATGTGTTGATTATCAAATTAACGATTTCTTATAAAGCAGAGTTGTATAACAAAATCATTTACTTACGTCATTATATATTTATATAATAAAATCTTTTCATAAAAATTTTATTTTTTAAAAATCGACGTTTTCAAATGATAATTCTATTTTAAAACATTCAGTTTAATGAAAAATACACATTTTTTATTTTTTATTGTTTTAAACATTTTATGATTGATTATAATTAATTGTAATTCATTTATTTAATTGTTTATTGTACAATATGAAATATTTTTTATCTTAGTAAAAAATATTTAAAACATGTGGATATGCAATTTATTTTAGTATTTAAATATTAATTGTTTTTAATGTACTTTAAATAAATATGATTTATTTGATGTAGGAATGGTATACCGAAGTGAAAGAGCTGTTCAGTGGTATCTTAGACTTCAGTATGTTTTTGGAGCTGCATTTCCTATTTTTGTCCCTTTCCACAATATTGCTGTTCACGTGGTTTATCGTCCCATATTTCTATCTCACTGATTTTGTCATGGCTCAGGGATTGAGTGAAACTGACGCATCCACTATCATCAGCACCATTGGGGCTACAAACACTGTTGGAATGGTACATATTATATATATTATTATATAATAATTAATATATTTATAATTCATAAAATCCATTATAATTTATAACAAACGGAATAATGAATATTGGAAAGATGGTTATTACGTTAACAACTTCAACAACGTTTTAACAAAAAATATTGGTCTATAGAGCTAAAAGTACTATAGTTCAATAAGCTTTAAATTTGTAACCTAGATAATCGATAAAAAATTCACATGAAAAATTTAATATTTTAAATTTCAATAAATAAAATATTTTAAAACCAAATTCTTGAAAAAGAAAAAATTAATAATAATAATAATAATAATAATAATATAACTAGCGTCAATTTCTCATGAAGCTAATATACAATACATTAGACATGATAGGATCATATTTTTTAACGAATGGTCAATACATTTGTAAATAATATGGATTAATAAGAAAAAAATTAATAAATACTGTTCCGAATTGTTTTTAACGTTTCTCCTAAAGCTAAGTTGCACTGCTCTCATAGTTAAAAATGTGATACTTAATATTTTGTACCCAATACACGGTGCACTATTGAAAACAAATTTTTAAATTTTGCATTTTAATTTATAGAGGGCCTCACACATGAATTTTTTGGCTCACAGTAAATTAGTATATTTTTATTTTTTTAAACTTTAAAGTTGCTTTAGTAACATAAAATAAAATAACTATTACAGTTGGATTTTATTTTAAACCTATATTATGTATATTGTATATAGTAAAAACCACCCAAGTGACTGTTAAAAATGTGTGTAATTTACTTTTAATGAAGTTAAATACAAGATAAATTTACTAATATTGTATAACTTGTCACAGACAACGTTGTGTAGGACCAGATATATAATCAATAAATATATCTAAAATATAAAATCAAAGTCATAAGACGGATAAACTTTTTATAAATCCATAACTTTTGATCGATTCTTATAAAATTACGTCAATAGATTTAATAAGTTAATTGTCATTTGCTACTTTTTACTTTTCAACACATGAATGTTTAGTATAGTTAACTCAGGAAAAACTATACATTTTATTAATATATTGTTACATTGATTATATAAAACAGAATATTTATTTAATTAAACAATATTTTAAACTTATTTGACCAAAATGACTGTATTAAAAGTCTATGTAGTTTAAATTTAAAGAATTAATTCACATGAAACGTAATTCAGGATTAATCATTTATTTATGAGTGCATATAATTTTACACAAAGGATGTTTTATTATTATAATATCAATAATATTATTTTCTTTGTAGAAATTAAAAAATAATTATTAAATACTAATTGTAAAAAAAATTTCAATTAACGTGTAATAATGATAATATATGTTACGTTTACACATTCAACTTTTTATTCAAATACTATATTTTTTTATTTCATGTCAACAATAATTATTATATTTTAACTATTATACCTTAAAATGAATTTTTATTTAAATTTAAAATAATATTCGAGTGCAAGACTCACAGTTAGGTTAATTAAATTGTATTAATTCATAACTATTAACTGTATGACAAATTAAATTGTTAAGGAATTAATTTAATTATAGAGGATTAAGAATTTATCCTTATTCATTCCTTAAGAGGAAGCTAAAAAGACTATATAATAATACAATATTATTATTAATTAATAATTAATTTATATTAGTACCGTTATGATCATTTGATATAAGTAGTATACGTATTGATTTTATTACTCATTTCAGATATTACTCGGCTGGGCTGGTGACTATCCATGGATGAACGTAACCAAGGTTTATGCGATCTGTCTAGTAGGCTGTGGAATTTGCTGTGCCATCATGCCTTTGTTTATTAGTAGCTTTTGGTCGCTGATCGTCATCGGTGCCTTATTCGGCCTATTCTTCGCTTCCAATTTTTCGTTCACACCCGCCATTTTGGTAGAACTTATACCGCTAGACCGATTCACCACGGCATATGGTCTAATGTTACTGTGCCAAGGTATCGGAAATTTATTGGGACCTCCATTGGCAGGTAAACAAAAAACTCATATACATATAGAAAAAATATTTATAGTATAAATCATTTACAACAGAAATATATATAGTAAAACATTGATATTTGTACCTTTGTACATTATATGTATATAGATAAATAATTGATTAAAAACTAATGATATTTTCATATTCTAATAAAAATAATCCACTTGTAAAATAAGTAACTTATTATTTTTCTCGTTAATCTATGAAGTTAAGAATAAAAAAAGTACGTAAATACATCATTTTGTATCTTGTTCTTGATGAAAAATCAAAATAATTGAATTGAGTTTTTTAACTTTACAATATGATAAATAAAAAGTATAGACATTACCTAATTATTAAGTATGAACAAATTAATAGGTAAAAAAAAAAAAAAATTATTTTGTGGAAAATTAATAGCCGAATACATACAAACGATCGTTTCACTTCTGGAGCCAGAACAATTAAAGTAGCAAATTAAATTCTTCAATCACTATTTTTTTGAAATAAAAACGTAAATGTAACTCAACTATAAATTATAGGTATAAATTGTTATATAGTACCTATATAATATAATATTTATTACAAATGTTTTTATTGAAATATAATAAGGAATGAAATTATTTACTACTATACTCATAAAATGCTTAAATTATTTGAGTAGGTAGTTTATAATAACCTATTTATTTATAATTTTTAATGTAAGAAAGATATTTTTTTGAAAATTTCTTAGGGATTATAACAATAGTTTACGTTTATATTTAGGCATGTTAACCAATTATAAGATTACTAATAACGTTATTTTTGTTAACAGGTTGGGTATCTGATTTGACTGGCTTTTGGGACTTATCTTTTTACTTGGCCGGTTTTTGGATCGTTTTGTCTGGTGTTTTCATTGGGCTCATTCCATTCACGAAAAATCGACTATTGTGGGGCGTCGGCCAATTGGAAATCGAACGTGACAGCGTTAGATCATAAAAATATACAATTTTATCTTAAAATATAAATAGGAGGCCTTAGAAATGTCTCATAGTATGAATTATATTCATCGTACTACGATATAAACGTAATCTTGTAATATGAGTTGTTTAAACAATTCTTTTTTGAGTATTTTCCTGTGATGTACCTATAAAACTGTGAAATCGATATCAACTTTAACCGGTTAAAGTGTTCGAAAATAGTTTTTTGAGTTAATGAGGAATGTTGAAAAAAATGTTAATTAAACAGTTTGTTTAAAATGGTAACTAATATCGCATCTATCCAAAATAATGAAATAGCTAAATAATTTTCTAGATTCTATTTTAGTTTATTTTATTTTCGTATAAATCATTAAAAATACTCTTCTTTTTAATCAATATTTAAGTATCATATTATTGATCGTAGATGAAATGTTTAAATATTTTTAACATTCCGATCAAACTCAAACAATATAGGTTCTAATTAAGTTTAAGAGTTCGGAAGCAAATGTGAGTGTTACAGCTCTGCAAATCTTTAAAAGGTAACATACATATTTTATGTATGGATATTATTTGGCAGTATTAAAGGAAGGCAGCTAATAAAATATGATCCTCTAATACTATTGATTATTATTTTTATTGTTATTATTATAATTATTGATTTTGTATCTTACTGTCGTAAATTATTATCTTGTTAAATTATAGAATTTATATTTTTTAATGAAATACCTATTTTACCAAATGTTGTGAATTTTGAGTTGTGTTATTTATGTATTTAATATTTTGATGTTAATACATTAGCTTACGTTATTATCCTTCCGAAATTCTGAGCTACATATGTGAAAAATTGTCTTATAATCAATGTCCCATTAAACCATATAAAGTAAATTGTTTTAGTTGCCAATTTATAGATAGTTTTCGAATCAAACTTCAAAACTTATAAATGAAGATACGTGTAAGAATTTAGAACGTAAGACAATCAAATTCATTTTTTGTTTTTTGCCCGTCTTAAAAACTAAATTGTAATAGTTGAATAATAAATTATTATTTAGTAAAAGTTCAAATACCCAACGATTGACGATTTGTGGAGCAATATTTTTAGAATTTAAGAAAAGAGTCTAAAAAATCTATTGATTTATTTTTATTTGATGTATAAATAATATTACTTCTTATTGTGTATCATTAGCATATTATTATTGTTGTTTTTTGTCTTTTAAATATTATTTGGCTCAAGTATATAATTGTAATACTACGATCTTCCATTTTTGATTTTGTATGTTGATCAATTTTCATTATTGATCAATAAAATGTAAGAATGCGTATAACGTATATTGTAGCTGTTATATAGATATTTATAATATTTAGCATATAATTTTTAAAATATATTCAATAAATTTGATAAAGTTCGTTTTGGACAAATTATCATAATTATATCGTTGTTAAATACAATATTTACATCTGTTATTTAAATAATTAAAATATTTAATCTTAAAAGAGTTATACAAATACTAAATTATTTATATTGTGTTTTTCTTTGTAATATTAACAAAGTCTAAAGATCACTATTATAATATCTACTATATTGTAATTATTCAGGGATCATATTTTTAACATTTAATATTGTTGTAGCTTACCAGATAATATTTTTATTTTTTTTTTAACTACTCTATTACTCGTGAATTCAAACATTAAATAGCACAAAATAAATTATTAAATGAAAAACAACATTTTTTTGTACGTGCAAATTGTTTATATGTATATATATATATATATATTATACGTTACTTTATAAAAAAAAAAAAACAAAGTGCTGATCAAAAAAAAATTAAAAACAATATTTTCCCCTAAGTAACTTATGGTTACAACAAAGAAGGGAAACTCAATGAAATCGTTGTGATGATTTCATACCAAAATAATATAGCTACTGGTCACTTTTCCATGTTCACAAAACTAAGTCAAGGCGGTCAAATACAAGCAATATTTGACGTGCGATTACCGTTACGGCACAGTGAATAATATGTAAAATATGTTTATAGTTAATAGTTGTCTTTTCGTCTATTCTTTAATGATTTTATCTTCAACTTAGATGATGAGAAAAGTCAGAACAATTCAATCTGGATTCATTCTGCGGCCAGCTCAACAACTATTCTCTTTGATGATTATCAGCGCTTTGTATATTTCGGTTCAAGTATACGTATTAATTCATAGCAAAATCTATAATCTTCATTAAAATTTAAAATAATAAAATATTATATGCATCTACATATTTTAAATTATACAAATTTATAATATAAATAATGAATGATATAACAAGTAAAACAAACGATTAAATTTACCACATTTTATAAAGCATGAAAATCCATTGTAATCCATAGCATAATTTTTTAAATACTGAAAAAACTAATTTTTATAAAGTATTTAATGGAAAATAAAACAATTATATATTATTATATTCACAATTTCTATTTAAATAGAATATATTAAAAACTACTATTATAATATTTATAGTTACATATCAAGAACTTTTAAAACTTTTAAAATTTTAAAAAGAAAAAATATGTATTACATTAACTATCAAAAATTTTATTTAAAAACCATCATGGTTGAGATAAAATGAAATACGTTATGATTATTAAATTCCATACAAATTAGCAAAACTGTTTTCAAATAATTATTTATACATAACTTAATAACACTAAAATAATATTGCATATATTATAAATTAGTTTTAGAATTTCACAATCGATTCTGTATCGGCAGTAATTTGTACTTATTACTAAAACCTATTCAGTTAAATCGAAATGTAAAGCTTTAAGTAAATAAAAAACATTTATCATCATTCTGATTACCGAGATCATAATATATGGTATTACTCGTATTATATAAATATTAAATAGTGTATTTAATCACAATATTTTTCCATGACTACATAAAATATATAACTATTTAGTAGTAAATTCTTTCTCAATATCCATAAACTGCATTCAGTCGACAGAATTTAATATTTTAATATTCATAACAACATTATGATTACTTTTGTATATGGTCCTGTGATGTATTATTGTAAATTTAATATAAATAAAATTACATGAATATAAACTACCAGGCAAAGAAATCGATGACATTAATGTACCTATAATGCCTATCCATATCGCCGTGTGATCATAAATAATAATTATTGAAATACATTAAAATAATATCAAGCACAGTATAGTTACGTATTAGATATTAAGAAAATATGAAACTAAAAAGAAAAAATTGTCATTATAAACGTAATCTATGCCTAAACGTTGTAATATTTTAATATGATAACATTTTATAATGCATTATTTTATACGCCGTAAAAAGTAATAAATGTAGCTTTAAAATTTATAAATTGTTCGTAATAACAAAAAAAAAAAAAAAAAAAAAAAAAGGGTGATTCTTTTATTACAAACCACCACTTACTACTTAGTATTTCTAAAACTGCTGACATTTTTAAAATATTTCTTTTATAGTTGAAATAAAATAACATTTTTCAATATTTTTTGTTCATGATTTTTAAATTTTTCCCTTTTTTGAATAAAAACTTTTATTTTTAATTTAATATTCTAAAGCAAAATATTTTTTTTGAAATATTTTGATGTATAAAAATCGAAATTTGGTTCATTAGTTCATAAGTTGTAAAATTTAAAATTTTGGTGAGAGGATTAGTACATTTTGCGCAGTTATCCCGTAACACTTTACTTCTCTCACCTATATTTTAAATACTTATAACTTATAAACTAGCCATCCGAATTTCAATTTTTATAAATTTAAAATTTAAAAAAAATTTAAAAGTTAAAATTTTTTTTTAAACTTTATAATATGAAATTTTAAATGTATACTATTATTCAAAAAAAAGTAAAAAACTTAAAATATTGTGAAGATAAAAAAAATATTAAAAAATATAATTGTTTTTTCTTTTATTTTAACTGTAAATTCTATGAAATAAATATTTTCAAAAATGTTGTTAGTTTTAAAAATAATGAATAGTTTATGATAAAAAATCACGTTGTATAAGGATAAATACATTTAAAAATAATCTCCTTGATCATATTTATTTTGTTGTATAGTACTAACTATATATGCATGTGGAATACAAAAAGTCAAGATCAATGAACAACTACGGTGAGTTTAATAGGTAGTAAATAATAATGCATTTAGAAAATGTCAATGTGAAAATAACGACATACAAATGCAATATATTTTTAAATGTTTTACACCATAAACCTACCTCTGTTCTCTACATGTATGCATGTAGTCGAATTAAGCATAAAATTGGATAATAGAATACTTCAGAAATTTTTCTATAAAATATATTTTATAATTCATTTTGACATTAACTATAACACAGTGTGTTATATTATATAAACTGAAAGCCTAATGTCTGAGTTTATTATGTTAATTGTAAAAAAAGTTTTGTTTTTTTTACTCTAATCATATCTGCTTTTTTTGAAAAGGACCAACGACAAATTTTCTTTATATTATAATTAATTTTTATATATAAAAATAATATTTATATTTTTAATTATTTCAAAAGTTAAGTTTTAATTTTCTATGATACATAAATAAGAAAATCATTTTTTTCGATGGATACTGACCATAAAAATATTTTATGAAACAGTGTAAACATAAAATAACATTATCATTTAATGAGAAACACATAATTAGTTAACATATTATTTATTCATTCTATTATGGTGATAACATAAAAAATTAAAAATTTTCATTTTATGTAGGTTTTAAATTTATTTTTATTTTTCTACTTTATGTACTTCGTATGCACATCCACCAAAAATTCGTTACTATAGTTACCAATATACTGTAAATAAATTATATTATGGTAATTTTAGATAAACATATTTAATTGAATTATTTGAAAATTTAGATTAGGTTTCTATGTCTAAACTTTTAGAACTTGGTCAAAAAAAAAAAATCCCATAATTACATTATTTCAAAGTTTTATCGAGCTGCAATGACATAATATAATAAATATAATACATTATAACGTACCACACTTTTATATTTAATTAACGTATATTTTTGAGTACTTATAAACTTCTACAAATTTAATTTACTATTTTATAACGTTATTACACAATTAAAATAAATAAATATTACAAGAACAATTTAATTATAGATTTTAAAATTAAAATTTTCTAAAAATATGTGTAATACAAATTATGTTAACAATCCTCTATTACTCAAAGTTTTTGAGATATGACTATGTATTAAAAATCAATCCACTTATGGTTTAATAAAATTATAATAATTCAATAAACGTGTTACATTATAATAATAAATATGTTAAGAATACTATCCTATTCTAAATTCTTATGCAATTATAACTTAATACACAGGATCAAATGGTGATGAAAATCCATTATGTGAAAATAGTTTTCATTCTATTATTTATTTTTAAATTATTTCAAAAACATCTCTAAATAAACTAGAATAAACGTAGTAGTGAGAAAATAAAGTGGAAACAAACTATAATTTATAAAGTCTACATTCATCAAACTTATTTTGCTGATCACGAACGAATAATATTAACACAAACAACATTATTATTAAACACAGAACAGTGTTATTATTACAGTATTTGTTTTTACTTGTTTCAGCAACACATTAATATTCTTCGTTGTAATAGAATTTCCAATAATATGATATTTATTTACATTTCAAATATATTTTTAGTTTATTCTACGAATAAGAACATCACGGTTAACGTATGTTCTATAGTCTGCAACAATTTAATATTCATCTAGAATATAAATTATTATAATATAGATAATTTATGTGTAACACATAAAATGCCTTAAATTCCGTACTATATTAATAAAACTTAAATACAAAATATTCTTTGAACAAACTATGAATAATTATAATTACAATTATAGGTTTTCAAATAGTAAATAACGCATATTTACCTAAATGATTGAATAAGAATTGTTAATTTTATTGATCAACCATTAAAATATGCGGTAGAACTTTTAATTTTTTACAAAGTTTACGTAAAATCAATTTGTCTACTTTCGCGAATACTTACTTCAAAGCTCTTTAAGTTCAATCAAAAATATCAAGATAGACACGATAGGATTAATAAAAGTAAGTATAGAATTTAAAATTATCAAAAATTTAAATGGTAGCCTGGTGGTTGCTATAGACTGGGACCTAGCATTTTTAAATTAAACAGAGCTTTAGAAATCATAACGATAGCACTGCGTGGGTAGAGATATATATTTGAATAATAGATTACAGTAGCAATGCAATAATATAATAGTTTAATAGTTATTATTAATATTAATATTTTAATATATTTAATTATTGGTATTCACCGCAATATTAAATTACTTGCACTCACTTGATTGAATAGTAATATTGACTAGGTGTATTACATTATATTAAATTCGTTAAGGCCGATCAATATCTAATCCCATTAAAAGTTCACAATATTTCTTTATCAATATACCAACAACAATATTTTTTTCATGTTAAATATTATATTGTTATTTATATTTTTTTTTTTTTTGGTGCTCAAATTGTTTGTTTAATATTTTTTTTTACATTCTGAACAGAACGATACAAATATATTATTTTTATAATGATGTAGGTATATTTTTTTTTCTTTTGTGTGAATAGAATTATTTTTATAAACATTTTAAATTCAAAAAAATGCTTATTAAACGATAAATAACGTTGTTCATTATTTTGTTATAATTTAAAAACATTATTTGTGGAAACTTAAACATTTTTAAGTTATATTTATATTTTACTCTATACAATTATAAATTTTTGATTTCTTTTAAAATATTATTTATTTATACTTTATATCTATTGTTAGTGTTTTATGGTATTTATAAAAAATATATTATTATCATTATTATTATATTTAAATATTAATAATATAATAAATATAATATTTTCAAAAAAATTATACCAACTTACTGTAATATTAAAAGTAAAATAAATGACTTTAATACATATTATAACAAAAAAACATATCATGAAATATATTTAATAATATTATCGGACAGACTTTATCCACTTAGAATCGTTTTAAATATATACGTACAAAGATATAGCTATCACTTAATTCAAATTTAACACACAAATAATAATGATCTACTCTATACCTATAATGTACACTGAGGAGCGATACCCATTTTCCTACCTTTTTTTAATTTGACATTATGATTATCAATGTTTTCACATTAATAATTTACCCATTAATTGGTCTGTCTTATTTATTAAAATTTTTGTAATTGAAATTTGAATTGTATTTGATTATTAATTAGGTAAGTGTTGAATAATATAAATCTACGAAAATATGAAATTTCAAAACGTGGACAAACCATATTATTCAATCCAACAAAAAAATACGAATCTGCAACAGTGACGTGATTTCAGTTTTTAAAAGAGTGGGAGGGGTCAAAAGTTTTGACCGGTCCCCATAGCTAGAAAAAATCCATATTCATGAAGATACCGGCTAATAAGTCATAACAATCCGAATACCGGCCCATTGCATCCAAAAACCAGACCAAAGCCAACCTCTTATCAACGGTGGTGGGAAAATACTCATCCTGCCAACCTCCTCTTAAATTACACCACTAGTCTGTGACCATTAATATAAGATGAATTTAAAAAAAATAACCATTATCCATAAATTTTACAATTTGGAGTAGTAAATACTGCTTATACATTAAGTAGATATCTATCTACTTTTTTGTGATCGCAATTCTTTAGTAATAATATTCTTATTTTTCGTCGTTCAAAACTATATCCTTGACACAATGATTAGAATAACAAAATCGTATTACGATGCATAAGCATTAAGCGTATTCTATTACCAAGCATTATTTTACTTCTATATGTACTAATGTACAACGCTACGTTTACAAATACTATATTATATAGAGACAGAAATTTTGCAAAAAAAAAATATGGCTGTAGATGGACGAGATGGTGGCGTATGATGTCGTATTCTTTGATTACAGCAATTTGAAAACGATCGTGCATTAATTTAATTGGTGCCCATTGTCATTAATTGGAGGTATGTGACTTTAAGGGATCTAGCCTTATTCTGTCCTATTCGCAAAAAAAAAAAATATCTAAAAAATAAGCTTTTATAGTTTCCTTAAAATATACGATGAATCGTTCATTTTAACTATAAATATTAGCATTATTACTTATATGTATATGTCAGAAAATCAACGCAAATGTAATAACATTTATTTTGAACGGTTATTGATTTTAAATATTTTAATTTTTCTATATTTTAAAATCTAAACGTATGAATTGTGATTGTTTAATTGTTTGCTATGTTTTACTACATCCTATCGGATAGAGGTATACTCTATCATCGCTGGCCGCTGGTAAAACGACCCGATCCTTAAATATATAAATAATAAATCACTGATCTATAATATGTTAATATTAATATAAATAACTATTCCTAATAGCACATTATATAATATCGTCAATGTCGATAACAAAATAAGCAAGCTTTGAACATATGGATGCGAGACGATCCCGGAGTTCAGTGTCTCCAGAAATTTACCGGATTTCCGTCTGAATGTTTATACGCACAAAATAACGTTCGTCTCTCCGATAACAACTAACAAGTAACAAAATAACATTATAAATTATAACAATGTACGTCATATAATATTATATAATATAGTCTTATCGTACCGACATCGCCAGACTGGTGTGGTTAGACATTTCGTCGACAACGAACAAAAAAAAACCTAATCGTATAGCTGGTAGTCGACGACCGCATATTGTTTATTAAATACGTTACACAACCATAGTCGAGTACCTACGATGACGACGACGACGACAAGGGTAGGGCTTCTCGTGTCAATATTCGATATTCTGAGTACAACAGTATGTATAGTAGTGCACACGGTCGTATATTATATTATTATTGTAGAATAAGTCGTGAGGATAGTATCGACCGTCGTCGGTTGTTCGGCCGTTCGTTTCTTTTGTACGCTTTCCACCTCCGCCTTCTTGCACTCAATTATATGTATTATATACTGTGCTTAATACTTAATGATTTTATTTTTCCTAATTGGATTTCGCTTGTGTCGCATAAGTAAATAATAACAATATTATTATTATTATTACCTATTTATTTATTTATTTTTTTTTTTTAATACGATACACTGCGAACATAGTTCTTACGCGTTAGGTATATTACAGCACAGTGGCAACGGTTCATGTCAATACATATAGGCACTGTAATCGTAGTGCACCTCCGTTATAGGTAACGAACCATATATCGTCAACGGTCAAACATTATCATCGTCGGACAACATCGTCGTAGAAAATTTGTCGAGCTGCGGGCTTTCGAGTCAAATTTATACTACGTCTATACAAGTAAACATAATAATGTACATACATAATAATATTTTTAATATTGGATATATTTAGTTATTTAGTATCAATAATACGTACACACGATGTTTTAAGGAAAAATATTCCAAAACTTTTCTTAGATCTGAATAATCAAACAAAATTTCTATTCACTGGACAAATACAATACAATATAATATATTATATACATAATGATTATATAGATCAATATTTATTTTCATAATATGCATGAATGACGTTTTTGTTTGAATAGTACAATACAAATTGTATTTGAAACGTATGTTTTGTATAATAATAGAGGCAATATTTAAAACTTAAACCGTGTTTTGGTATAAAAAAATGCTAACAACATTTTTAAAATATAAGAATATAACATACAATATTTAGCCTATAGGTACAGGTAAAATGCAATATTATAACTTTTAAGTACTAAAACTTGATTTTAAATCGAGAAAAAAACAAAAGTTATCATTCATTATCTGTCAAACTCGACCAAACAAAATAAATACCTATTTAAGTTTTTGTTCTGATCGATAAAATTTATAATATAAACAAAATGTCATATAATGTAAGAAAATAAACTTAGTTCAAGTACCAAGTAAAATTATTTTTAAATACCTTCTAAATAATTAATTTCAAGTTTCAAAAAAAATAAGTCTTAAATAGGTAAATAAACTTCATTAGATTTGATATAAATTATAACGTATAACAGTGATTAACAATGTAATAATTATTTACAATTACTTATGGGATATCGATAATAATTACCAAAAACACGGTAATATCCTATATAATATATATGATATAATTGAACTAGGGACTTTCAGTTTCATGATAATAAATGTTTATTAAAAATTATTAAATAATGCTAAATATTTATAATTCAGGCCATTTACCGTCGACTACCTATCTCAGTACGAAATAAAACTTGTGTTGAAAAATATAAATATTCTTCTAATAGGGTTTATTAAAAATTGTAAAGGAAGTATTAAATTAGAGTCACAAAAATATCAAATTAAATACCTACACAGTTAGTTCTTGGATCAAAATAAAGTATACGAATAGGTTCCATATGTATAATTGTACAAATAATATTAATTATTAGGTAAAATGTTAAAATTTGATGACCGAAAATCTAAAACTCAATTTTTTTATATGAACAAATACACAGAATTATTATAATCCACTTCAGAAAAAACAACATATTTTCGTGAATCGTTTATTAGAAAACTTAATTCAGAATTTTATTCCACCCAAAAATTATTGACCTGAAAAAAATACCTAAAACATTAAAATATTAAAACTGCATGTTGTACACGTATCCTACATTATTTTTTATTTAATTAAAGTATGATTACCTATTTACTTATTTTATTATTGAAAAATAATTTTAAATCTTATTATTTTATTGTTTATATACTTGTATAATATATATATATATATATATACATATAGACTAATTAACAATGTAAAAGTGTTGACCCGTGAAATTATTTGATAAACATCATTTTTCAACTATAGTTGAAATTTGAGTTTTAAGATCTAAACATTTAATATTAGAATGAAAGTTCATCAGAGCCAATTCGTATGTGTATTATATACCTGCAGGCTATCCAAGAACCAATTTTAAGCTTGAATTAAATAATACCTAATAACTCATAAAAAATTAATACCATACACTAAAACTAAACTAATAAATTATTTTAAGCAAATTTTTAAACAGTTTCTGAATGAATTCTTTTATTACTTGTTTCTTTTCTTTGACAACTAAAAAATGCAAAAATAATTTCAAAAAATCCTAATGTAATCTTATTTAATTAAATATTTATACTTATTGTTAAATTTTTTTTTTACTAACTATGAATAAAATAATTGAAAAACTATATGATAATGTACATTGAATAAATAGGATAAAAAAACAATTGAGTATAAATATTAATCCCGTGTGCTTGGAGTAATATTATTCAATTATAAAATCTTTCAATGTTTAATTTTGTTTTAAAGTTGATTAAGTTTTAATTTTTTTTTTTCTTTTGATTTGATTTAAATTGTTTCTATAAAAATGTTACTATTAGGTCTCCGCAAGTTAATTAACAATCTGTGCAAGCATAAAACGAATGAATACCTACTCTCGTCTTGTACTATGTATTTTAGACATTTTAAATTTTCTGCTTATTTTACGATTTATGAACAATAAAAATTTTAATCTAAAAAATATGAAAATGTAATTTAAATTTCCTCATTAGTTTTTTATATCGAAATTAAAAAATATTTTCAATAAATAATTATACTTTTTTTCATAATCATTTAAAGTTATGAGATTTAACGAAAAACCTAAATTTAAAAATTATTCTGAGATTAAAATTTTATGAAAATTTTAATTTTAACATCTTAATATTCATAGAAATATTTAGATACCTACTAGCCAACCGTAAATACTTAATGGCAATAAGGTACTTTCTATACTTACTATACCACAGAATGACCTCCTCGGTTTTCTTGTTTTAATTATAAAGTTGATTTCTCCAAATTAACGTGCATACAATAAAAATCTATAGCAAAGAATGACACCATAACAAACATTATTTAATACATTTAAACATGCCTTTAATTATCTATTTATAATTTGTTTAATACAAAATGTTTTTAGAATATAATATTTTTTTTTTTTTTTTTTTTTTTTGTACGAAAATTACATCTGAATCCAACCATCAAATAAAATAGTGAAACTTGAAAATAACGAAAAATTTTTATTTTCCACTTATCTATCATCAATCAAACATAAATGTAATTTAATAAATTACAAGATTGGTTTAATAAAATCATGGTTTTAATAATTTCATTAGATAATGAAATGTTACAAGTTATAACTAATAAATACGTAAATATTTTTCTGACACGAATATTTTACTTGTTTATAACATATACCAGAGTTCGAATTATTTAATTTTTCTAAAAATCAGTCTTTTAATGATTACGAAAATATTGTACCACAATATTTATTTATAAATATTTATTATAATACGTTATAACTTATAATAAAATCAATAGTCGCGTATAACAAAAATCAGTATAAATGATAAAAAATATTTACCACTTACGCAAATTTTTTTTATTAATTGTGATAAAAAAATATTTGTATTAATTTTTCGAATCTCAATGCTGTGGGATTTTATTATGTTTTTGATAAACTTTGTAAGAAATTGAACTTTGAAAACTTACAATTTTTTTTCTATTTTTCAAATGAAATGAAAACTTATTTTAAGAAAACTGTTATTAACTGTTAAGCTCTTATGCTTAAAAACAAATATTTTATCGTACATTTTAAAAACAAAAAAATAAATCTAAAATTTCAATTATCGATCAATATTACAAACAGAACAAAAATGTATTGAAAAATAGTCTAGTAATAATAGTAAATAGTTAAATAACAATGCTCTTTGCTAGTATAAATATTTGATACAGACTCTTTTGACTACAATAATTGTTATTTTTTTTAAATTACTATTAAATAATAAAATCAATTTTAACTTAAACTTGTATTGTACAAATATTCTTCTTTTCTTTATTATTATTGTTTTTTTAGGTTTTCCTAATTATTTTGAAATTATATACTTTTGACTTCTTAGAGTGCCAATTAGGTATTATTAAATGAATATGTCCCCAGAAAACATCCTAAAAATCAAAGTATTTTTACAACTCGAAAAGCACAATACACGTCAAATCATGTAAAGTAAAAAAACACATGTCATTGTAAAACCATACATTCATTGTTTCACCCTTAATCCTAAATGACTCGAAAAATGGCAACTTACTCAAAATTTGGAAATGGTATAATATTTGTTTTTGTATAATAATTTAATAAAGATTTATAGTTTTAAAATAACATTAAGAAAACATCACATTTATTCATTAATCATTAATCATTTAGAATTTAAGTCATAATATTCATAAAACGATATCCATTTGATATTTTAATATTAAATTATTTATAATATTTTAAGTGTCATATTTTTACACGATTAATTTAAACTTAAATGTTTTATGAAATGAAAAATATATTTTCAATCTTCCTTAATTAGTTAAGTGGATAATAGAAAATAAGGAACCTCTAAAATCTTAAATTTAATTATTTAATTTTTTCAAATAATTATTGAATAAATATTATATAATACAGGAATAATTTAAATCGCAATCGTCTTCATTGAATCAAATAATAAAAATTACGTCAATAATTCTATTGAGGCTACATTACTAACATATAATTTTAGTTTTAAACATATAAATTAAATACACTCAAAACACTTGATAGTAATTTTATTAATGATTTAATTCAGGAATAAAGAATGTATAGATACACTTTTAGTGTTAGTTATGTGATTAAAAAGGATATTAACTCAAACAAAGTAATAACCAAAATAAAAAAAAAGCTAATTACTTGCTCTTTATCTGCGGATATTGCTTAAATCGCTTATTCTGTTAAACCTAATAGTTGTTAAATATTTAATCGATAAATCAATATTATTTATACATTTGTGTAATGTGTATATGTTGTAAAAAGTAAATATATTTTCTTTTTATGGTAGACAATAGGTATACATAATAAAGGTACTACACCTAACCTTTTATGAGTACTAAACAGTTATAAAATTCACTAAACTGAAATATATCTATGAATTAATTATAAAAAAAAAATAAAATAGATTAAGCAAATTACTTAAAACTATTTTTAAATACACACAGGAGAAATAAAATAATTAAACCCTCGTATAATTATTAATTGAGCTTAATTTAAAAATATATACTGTAGGCGCATGATCAATGATTTTTCTTAACATTATATTAAATTAATAAGGAAAATTATACCTGTTATATATTGTATGATGCAACAAAATAAATTTAGGTATAGGACGAAAAATAGGAAATACCATTGTTGTGGGACCTATACACTTATTGCTAAATCCACCGTCGTGCTCGATCTCAACGTACGGATCATTGACTCTCACCGATAAAATGAAAAAATCTCAATACTTGAATAAATTAATAACAAGACGAGTGAAACCCTTACCGAATAGGGTGAGATGACAGAGGTAAGGCCATCGCGTATAAGTTTATATTGCAATGGAATAAGAATTCGTTCGTTAAACAATTGGCTGCGGCCAAAAAAAAAATTTATCACGCTTAGCACGCGCAGGTATATACGCCTTGCGACCCGTGACCAAAACGAGTTAAAAAAAATCCATCTACCCCCAGTGCTTATCCCCTTTGTGCCGTAGATCGTGTAGAGAGAATATTAATACGGTAAAAGTATAAATGTCAAAAAAAAAAAAAAAAATAATAATAATAATAATTTTTTCGCCCACTACGCACTAAAAATCGTACCCCCAACAATATATAATAATACAGAAACGGCCAACAGGTACCAGCTCATGTCAATATTATGTCTAATGGTATATTTAATATTTTGTATATATTATCATGTATAATATAATATTATTCGGTTTCCGATCGGCTGCAGTCAAAATATTATCATTACGCGCGTTTAAAACAACGTTTGTGTTGTACGCCTTCGTCCGCGTCCCGACGCGACGCGGATAAACCCATCTGTAACACGTCTATTGCACGCGACAACGGTCACGGGGGCCGTGTCCAGGGGAGGGTGTGCACCACCGCCTTTCTGTAAACATAATATATTATAATAATAATCGTAATGATATATATATATATATATATATGCGCATAGGTGTAAAAACAGTGGTGAGAAAACCGAGCGAGTGGGGTAGCGGTGTTGCCGCGCGGTTTGTCAACGGATGGACGGGCGGCGGGTGGCGGGCGCGGCGGCAGCGTGGGTGCTCGTGAGCCACCGTGTTCACACGAACACACCGTGCCAGAGCAATGTCTGTCGCGCGCATTTTCGGCTTTGATAATAATCGATATCGTGCCGGGTGCGCTACTCGGCGGGGAACGGCGCGGTACAAGCGCGTGTCGGGGTGGGGCGGGACGGTCCCGCGCGATGGCGCGCGCGCTTGTGTGCGTACTAATACTGAACCGTGTGCGCGTGCGTTTTTCGCAGACCCGACGGACGGACGAACAGGCGGCGCTGGTCGACGGCAGCGGCGGCGTCTGCGACTACCGCGGTATAAGGTCACCGTATATACGTATATACCACAGCGGCGGCGGAGGCGGCGGCGGCGGCGGCGATTACGACTACGCTATACGCGGGCGCCGGCAGCAGCGAAGTCATGGACCCCAGTGTGCTTTCAGCGATGGACCGGGACGCGCTCAAGAAACAGATCGAAAACATGCGCTACCAGTCCACAATGGACCGATGGCCGCTATCCAGGAGCATACAGGCGTGAGTACCTCAAACCCGACACACAATAATGATTATAGTATACGATTTACATGATAAATATTATATTGATTTAACGCGTTTAATATATTATTTGTTGCACATTAATATGGTGTGTATAATTAGAGCGTTATAGCGACGATAATAGTGCGCGTGTCCGAGTGGCACAACAAACGCGGACCAGTACACGATATAAAACATTATTATATTATAGTATTAAGTTTTGTTTTTCGCCACGTGTATATTACCTTCATAATATTATTATCGTCATCGCCGATGGCTTATGTGATCTATGGAAAATGTTTCCGTTGTCTAAACCTACCTATCGTAGTCACCACACGCGTTTAAAAAACCGCGTCTCTCATACTACCAATCGTAATATATATATATATATATATATATATATACGTATACGAATACGTGTATGCATTATACAGAACATTGTAACTACCGCCCATGACTAAATAAATCGTAATAAATTGATAATATTTGTCCGTGCGTTATCGACGACGCCTCTTGATTCCGACTGCGGCTAGGTTACCGGGTCTATTTGAGACAGTTGCCCACACGTACAATACACATATATAGGAACAACGGTGATGATGCGTACTTTTCGCGCGCCCCGTCGACAGCGACGGTTTCCACGACGGCGACAGTCCCATTTTTTAAATTTTTTTTATTTGATTCACCTGCAGCCGTTTCCCGCGATAGCCACGCTGCAGTCAAATCACACGCCGGCAATATATAGTTACCGTTTTACGCGATAGATTTTAGAATAATATACTACGATAGATGGCCAGTACACCTAAGTATTTCTTATAGATTTTATTTTTCACATCGCATTACTCATACAACTCACGTACTTTACAACACTGTTATTATGCAACGATTTCGTCTACTCTACTACACTGTGCATGCATGTAACGTCAAATCCCCATCAATAAACGGTTATAACGATAATTTTTTAATAATTACACACAAATATAATTTGTATTTATACATATATACAATATACATACCACAGTAATATATACTGCACATATATCATGTCTGAAGATAAATATTATAATTTATTATGCATATGTTTATGCATTGCTGTCGTATACTTGGGGTGAGTATGCGTAATCATATAGGATTCGGTGATCCCCTTCTTTGCCCATTTGTATAGAGTTTATACTACTTATATAATCTAAATTTTACATATTAAATTATAATATTTAACATATTTTGCATTAAAAAAATAGGCCCTCCGTTAATAAATTGTTAACCATTTATTTATTAACCAAATTATTTTCTCATCTCCAGATAATATGCTATAAACATTTTGAATAAAATATAAATGCTAAAAAATAATTATTATAAAATTAATGCAAAGATTTTTTTTTTTTTTTAATGTTATTTAACTTATAGTTTGTATTCGTATATATGAACTATAATAAGTTAAAATGAATAGAGATAAAATATATCATACATAATATAAAATAAACCTTATAATAAATATTTAAAAAAATAATGTAAGTATAATTATATTAAATATGTATGTAATGATTTTTTGTTAACTATTTAAGTACCTAGTTAACATAAGTCAACAGTATTCTGTAAATAAAATGTTATCTATAAGAGTTTAAACATTGAGATTCGGATGGATTATATAGTTTATTTCAAAATATTTTACTATTGTTATATTTCTTTTAACATTCTAAATGAACAACATACGATTACTATTATATAATATTGTACACAAAATACGACTTGTTATTGTAATGTAATTGTTAATAAAGATACTAACAATACTATACTATACTGTATAGTGTATAGTGTATAGTATACTTATTGAATTCTAAAAAAATAAGCAAGTTAGATTCATTGAAGAATAATGTACGATATGTTTCAATACCAAAGAAAAAGGTTATTAGAATCATAATTAGATGAAGGTTATTTCTACAACTTCTTTTGAAAGATATTTTTACTCTTTTTAATGTAATACACTTTGTACCTATATTCTTTACCCGTAAATATTATTATGGTTATAATACCTTATACCTTGATTTAATTAAAAACCCTTTATTTTTAATCTATTTTAAAAACACATATATTTTATAGTCATTTTTTTTTTTATTCTGGTTAAAATTTTAATAAGTTTTTTTAAATATTAATAGATTACGTAGTTTTATCATAAAACCATATTCAATAATTTGAAACCCCTTTGAGATAGAACGTGTCTTTTTGTTCAAATATGTATTTAAGTTTTAATGAAACTTCTTGTATTATATTTACACAAGTACACGATGAAGCAATTTGAAGTTTGAACATTATCTAATGAAATTTTTATCCTTTTTAAAATTTATTTAAATTTCTATTTAAATACTATATTTATAAATACCTAATAAAAAAAAAACTCAAAAATGAATGAATTGATTTGATAAAATATATTATATTATGGTTTTATTTAAATTTCGTTGACTAATGAGAAATTTTAAAAGATATTTTAAAAATATGATTTTTCTATATTTTAATTACATTTAATAAATAATATTAGTTTATTTCCTTGTTTCGTTATATATTAACAGAAAATATTATTCTTTTAATTGTTAAAAATTCCAAGTACTATATATACACTAAAAAATAAAAAAACCAATTGTAACAACCAACAACAATATTATTGTTTTAATTTATTTATTTTATAACTAATTAAATATTTGTTAGTATAGAAATAAAATTATTGGTTCCTACATTTTTAGTAAAATGGTAAATAGTTGTTTCAAATTTAATAATCCTCATAAATGAAATGTTTGTTAGATACTTACTAATTGTTTTAAATACTTTTATTTATATTTCAAATAATTTCACATTTAAATCAACTTAACTGAATTTAAAATAACATTAGTTGATTTCTATGCTTGGATATCAGGGTTGACGAAAAGCTAAAATAAAGAATAATATTTCACTAGGTTTTTACTATGAGTATAATTAATTTATATTATTTTAATTGCGTAAAATCTTACAGCGTGAATTATACTTATTTGTTTTTTTTTTTTTAAGTTTAAAAACAAATATTGTTTTACTGTTCTTTTGTTAGTATTATTATACTAGCTGGTCATCTAACATTATTAAATTCTAAACGTTTTTATAGTATCTCTTCACATACAGCCTACCATTTCTTGTTTAATAGTTAATATTGTGGGTAATAGCACAACATGTGATGTGTTATAGAACGTATGGCTTAAGATACTACAAGACTAAAAGGTTATTAATAGAGTAATACTTTACTACTCTAGCCAAACCTTCACCCCTGTGTGAGAAATACGTGTTGTTATTATTATTATAAAATATTTAACAAAAAAAATTTTTGTATGTTCTTTTTAAATTTAATAATTAAACTATTAAATAATTCAGAGGTATTCAGCTGAATACTACGGAAAAACTATAAAACATGAAAATAATATTATAATACTATAGTAAGCTATAAATTATAAGTTATAACATAATATTACATACATATTATATTATATCATGTGATATGTACACGTCACATGAGTAAGTAGTAGTATGACACACAAATATTGGTACTTTAAAAACTGTTAAAGTCACATGATATTTAACCCTTTTTTTTAAATGTCACTTAAAATACTTGTCATATTATTCTCTTTAAAAGCAATATCAATATAATATTCATAACTCATATGTTCATGGTAGCACTGGTAGATACTACCACATAAAATGTGTATATAAAGATAACGTTATGTTTTTTATAAGATGTTATAAAATAATATATAATACACAATTTACAATTCACATTAATATGTATATGTTGAATTTGTATTAATTGATTGATCGAATTTTAATATAAATATGTACGTTTTAACTTTTAATATCATTAACGTATTTGTAAAATCTGATATAGATTAGGCAATAGGATTGTATTCAATTCATATACCGAATCTCTTATAAAAATACATAAAATATTAACAAATAATCTTACACAAAATATTCGTAGGTATAGTAAGCAAACAATAACAGTATAATTTGGAAGACTCCACATATCACATATGCATAATGTATAATAGTCATTCTAATTCAGGATAGTGTAATCATAACGCTGTATATGTATGATAACTAATAATACCTCGTTATGCGTTTGTATTAAATTACCCGAAGAAATATCATTATAATATATAGGTTATAGGTATATATCGTAAACAAATAACAATGATTATAAAATTGTTAATAATAATAGGTGTCTATATAATAATAAAATTGCAGTATCTCCGTGGTTGTATAAGTACGATTTTGTAGTGCCATTATAAGTTATAACTACTAAGTGCTAACGCGAGTGAATAGATGCCATAAGTTGAAAAAAAAGGAAGTTTCAAGAGCTTTGATACTGCACTGTTGCTGTGTAATTTATTTTTGATTTACTTTGTCTGTAAAATAATAACAATAATAATAATAATAATATAATACATAAAGTAGCTCGATTATCCTATGAGCACCAAAATTTAAGATAAAATTCAACCAGAATAAAAGCCATTATACTACAATCATTTTCGACGATACGTCTCCCTTTGCACATACAATAACACAATACAGTAGATGGTTACAATAATAATGATTAAAAATACATTATCTCACCAATGAAGATTATAATATTATTTCAGTGAATTTATGCGAATTATTTTCACGCATATACGCATTTACATATTATGTGAACACGTGTGTAATGAGTATTGTCGTTATTTCTTCTTATCAATATTGTATTGAAAAAAGTACAATACCTATGGCAGTTTGGTGGATGAAAGATATCTTTGCTCACACAAACCGATACCGGATGTCATTAAGGATATTTTGGTAGTTTTGATTTTAATCTGCTAAACCTTAAAAAGATTTACTCATTGTAATGTAAATGCATAACTTATTTAATCTATAAATTATATAATTTACATTATAGACCTAATATATATTATCTTTTTACTATTATTCCTCACATAACAAAAAATATAAAACTATACAATGTACCTATTAGGGCTGAATTATATTTTCAATATTATGATACCAAAATAATGTGTGTATATATATTCGGAACCGCTGCTCCCTATTCGTTTCTCTTGCCACTCCATTCAATTTTTTTCGTGGGATATGTTTATAAGTCTAATATTAGAAATATGAATTAAATCTTGTACAAACATAATAAATTATTAAAAACTTCAAATAAAATAAAATACATACGTATTACTATAATTCCTCATCAAACACGATATTTTAATTGACTTATCTTAAAATGTTTACTTAATCCTGATTCCACAAACTCTCTCATCGTTAAAATACAACTTATAATTAGTTATGCGTAAATACTAAATATATTCACTTAACATCATATAATAAATAATTAAACTTTCTCAAAGCTTTGTCCCCGTGATTGCAAATATTTGCAGGTCTGTCATTTTTATTTAAAAAAAAAAACGAAGCATTACAGTATTGACATTTTTCTATCATACCACCAACACCTAAATATTCAGGCTCATCAATTTGTCCATTCTCTAATTTTTATTTCTTTAATTTCTTGTTTTCGTTTATTTCTTAAATGTTTCTTTATTTTTAAGTATTGATCATTTTATCATAGTGCGCGCTTTTTATCAGGTATTTGAAACTTCTATCAATTGATCTTAAAATGTACAAAAGAACTCTAACATTGATTGCAATTATAATTATTCGACGAAACAATTTTTCATAACTTTTTTGTATAACAGTAAAATGCAATATATAATATTCTGGATGTATTGCTACATAACTTGGTTCGGAAAAAAATAAATATATATAATATATAATATACGACACCGATATATTTTTATTTAAATATAACTTGGTTCATGAAAGTCGATGTCGGTGAATATTATACGAATAATCCTCCTGTAGTTAATTGGATTTGAATATAGCGTTTGTTAAATTTTGATTTAAGTCTAACTTTTTGAGAAAATTAATTTAGGTTTAGGTACCTCATAATTAGAAAATTAGCAAAACACGTAAACTACACAGATTATTTGTACCTTAGGTCATGCAATGAATTTATGGAAAATTATTTTAAATAAATCAAACTGATGGTGCCACGAAAGTATTCCTATTTCATCAATCAATTTTACGGGAATAGGACTACCTATTATAGGAATTATATCATAAAAATATGCTTAAAATCAGTTTCAGAAATGTATTTGTAAATTAAAAACAAGAACTTTGGTAATCGGATAAGTGGTTTGAGAACAAAAAACTGATAAAAGTATTAACTTTAACAACACTTTTCAACATTTAAAAGGTAAAATTACCAAAAAAATAATTTTTTATTACTGATCTACACTTTATTATAAAGAACCTCTGTGGAAAATATCAAATGTCTAGACCCAGTGGTTTGGTCTATGTATTGATATGCCATTCAGTTAGATAATTTTTTTTCTTTTTTAATAAAATATTTGTAATATTGATATAGATCATAAATATATAATATTATAGGTGCATATTACATATATAAAAAAAGCTGATAATTTTCGTATATTAAACAACAATGAAATAAACAAAATAATTATTACCCTAAATGTTTAATTATGTTCCATTGAAAAATACATTTTTATTTATATAATTGTGTAATATTATTTACTGTTCAAAACTTTTCAATTGATTAAATTTTTTGAGAAATCAAGCTCATTTCAGAAATAGATCAATATTTTATTAGTTTAAAATATACATATTATATTATACATTTTGACAAATGCCCATATGCCCATAAGAAATTCAATTCAAAATTTAAATTAATTTTACGATTCTTTACTCTCCACTAATTATTATGTTAATATAATTAATTTTCGTAAATAAAGATTATTATTATTAATAGTAATAGTATTAGTATTATTATTAGTTATAGTCGAGTAAATTACATTATTAAGACTAGATTATTGAATTGTTGAATAACATATAAACCTGTACCTACATATTGTGTTGTAATATACAGACCTATAATAAGTATCATTATTTTAAAATTTAAATAGTTAAAAAAATTTTGATTTTTAAAATTATTTACTGTGAAGGTAGTGTACAAATTTACATATTTTAATTCTTTACAAAGTTTGAAGTAAATAAATTAATTAATAATAGTAATAATAATAAATAATTTATATTTTAAATGTAAATTTAACATTTTTTTATCAAAACACTAACTATTTTCTTATCAAACGGTATGGAATTCTGTGTATAATATAATTTATGCAAGCATGAAATATTTCACATGATATAAGTGTAAAACTTCACCACATTTATAATTAGTTATTTGAACGAATTTCTAATTATTCAGAATCTTAAATATATAAGTATATACCTCTAACAAAATAAAAACTACATTTCCAAAATAAACATGACATCTGTGAATAATTACGTATAATCAAACAGAAGTGTATTTTAACGTATACAATTTTTTCCCAACTCTCGCTTTTTTATCTTTCTTTCTCTCTATCTCTGTCTTTCCCTCTATATAAGTACGTACTAAGTACATGTTGACTACAAAAGTTTCATTTCAATAGTAAATTATATGGCTTAATCATATACAACAATAATTACGGCTCGTATTATATAAAATCTTATATTTATAGATATTATCCATGCGATATTACAAAGTGTGCTTTGTCACATCAATACTATGAACAAAACCTATACAGCATTTTAACGGTCTATTAAATCATAATTTATTCTGTCAATGTTTCGGTCAGTTTGTTTTACCACACCCAAATAGATGAATGTGAAAATCATTAAGTACTTCTAAGTTAAGTTTAGTTAGTTGGTATTTAAATGTAATGGTACTCACATTTTTAATAGAATTCGTCATAAAATAATTATTTGACAACTTGTAGGTAACTATCTATATAAAATAATTTTATCTCTAAATTTACATTAAAAAAATTAATTTTATGATATTTTTCAATTTTATTTACAATTAAAGTGAATTATGACTGTCTGTAAAAAAATTTCTATTCGTATCTATGATACAATTATTATCCCGAGATCTATTGAACAAATAATTATTTTTAGATTCAATACGATCTACATTCGATTTTGAAATCAAATAAAAATTCTTTAATAAATATATTTATTATTGAGAGCTGTTACGTTATATGTTAAACCAAATATTTAGGTGTGAATTATAATACATTTAAAATGCAAAACTATTAAAAATAATAATCTTAGTACAGCTTATGAACAAGTGATGAATGATACCGAAATCAAAAAAAACTTTAACAATAACTAAAGATAAACTAAGATAATATGGTTGAAAACCGTATCTTATATCTAGGTAAAAGATTTATTAAAACACGTTAAATATGACATGCGAGTGTTATCATATAAGTATATTTATATTTATATCTTTACAAAACCAAAGCAAGCGATGACAACGATTATGACATGATTTTGTGTTTAAATTTGTAGGTTTCTAGTAAATAATTATATTATAAATAAAGGAATTCAATTTATCTTATTTATTTTAACTGTTCGCAGGATGAGGGAATTCGTCGAAGAAAATGAAAAAACCGATCCATTAATTCACGCTCCAGACAAAAAGAACAACCCTTGGGCGGAAAAAGGAAAGTGTGTAATAATGTGAACGATTTTTTTTTTACACACTCAACTCGGCGCCGTCACCGCCCACACAGTCATGCCGCGCTAACCTGTCGGCATTGGATCCGGTTAAACTTACATTTTCTTTACATTTTATTAACGCAATCATTTATTTTTTATTTTATAAAAAATAATTGTAACATTTCTAATATTGTGTATTTTTTCGTTTTATTTTGAATTATAAAAATACATTTTTAATAAAATTTAAAAAAAAATTATAACATAAAAACAAGTATTTTAAGGGTAATTATATAAGCTCAATAAAATATAAAAATAATAGTCTTGATTTCAAGTATGATAACTTAATTAACTAGGTAGGTCAATAATGAATATGTAGGTAGGATATGCGTGCGCGCCTTAATGTTATCAATTTCTGTGTGAGTACTTTAACGATGAATACATCTTTGTCTTGTTTTTTTTCCCTTTTTTTTCTTAATTTTAGATTATTTCTTATATTATATGATTTTTTTCCTTTAGTCATATTATTATTCTAGTCACTGTAATTAAGCCCATTTCAGGTATATTATTTATATCTCATATACCTATATTATTATAATTATAAATATTTATAAATATTAAATACTATATTATACATGTATTATACTTTTATTAATAAAATAATTTATAGCTATAAGCATCAACAATCATCGTATAATGTCGGTCACTTCTTTTTGTAATCCAAATTGCAATAAACCTGTATAAGGCCCATCGCGGTTATTATAATAATAATATACACAGTTAATGTCTTAACCGAAATATATCCTAATCCCTCCCTTATCCGAGCTTAATTAAATTGAAATTTTGCGTCGTGACGTTTCTAAAAAATTTTATACATTTTTTTTAAAAAAAAGGTAAGCCTGTCTAATATTTGTATAAATTGGAGTGTTAAAATAAAATTTTAGTTTACTACAATTAATTTTGATTTTTTTTTTTTTTTTATGTAGTATTTTTCTGGTAATATTTATGGGCACCAATTACGTTTTAAGTTTAATATTTAGTATCTATAATAATAACATTGTTTTATTTTTTTGTCGTCACTATATACAATAATACACAAATGTATTATGTCATTCGTAATACGTACGTATGTTATGCACATAATATATTAAATTTTACATGTAACAACGATTAAATAAAACGATGTATAATATAAATATATATACACATAATCATAGCAAAGTGAACATAACACTGTCATATTGTTCTGTATTCACAGGAAATGAAAATAACGATTCAGCATTTGATTTAATTTTTAGAAAACATTATTTCGATTTTACTATTATAATTATTATATATTATATTACCAAAAACGTCTGTAAATATAAATATGAAATATAGATGTTTTTGATCGATTTTTGATTTTTAGTTTTGTTTTGTTGTCATCATCTTTTTTTATTTAAAGTACTCCGTTTGTCAACCTGCTCAGTACACACCAGTGTACTGTTTAAATAATTTGTTTGTATCTAGATACAAACTATAGATAAGATATCTCACCTCAAAATATATCAAAAAATAGATAATGACAAATTAAGTTATTAACAACATAATCCAATAATTTTTAAAATAATATACGAAAATAGAATGTTCGAGTATTTTTTAAAGACTATGTCTCGTGAACAATCTAAATAAATTCATTTAGATGACTTATTTTTCTATCTTAGATGGCAGTAAGATACAAATTGTGTAATTTATCTAGATAAGATAATAAATACGAGTGTTTTATCTAGATAAATTTATTTAACTAAATTGAATTATGGCACAACACTACTGCACACACATGTGTTATTACAAACTTATGCTGACAGTGCACGATGAGTTTAACAGGTACGCGCACATGCAACAAAATAAATACCTACGCATTGCACTGCATCATATTTTATAGGCCAATTTTTGTATTTTTGAAAAACATTTTTATACAATTTAAATTACTTGTTTATATACTAATAAAACGCTATATTAAAAAAAAAAAATTTAATGTTCACTATTTTTGTCATAGTTATTTTAAAACATTTTTATGATAATCTAATTTTTAGAATCTGAGCAGAACAAATGTATTAAATTTGAAATAAACTCGTTTTAATAAAATCGTTTTTTATGTTGTGAAATAATACAATTATATTGTGACAACATTAAGTATTAACAACAAAAGCAGACTTGATAATCAAAGATCGTACAAAATATTACTTTGGAATAGAAATCAAAAATCAATAAAGGCGCTTTAATAATAAAGTAGGTATCACAGCAGTTATAACCATATCATAAATAATTATAATATGCATCAGATAATGTATTCATTAAAAACAGATTGAGTGCTATTATTTTTTGAGTTCAGGTTTATTATTTTATCTCCAACGAGTTTAAATCGGCCAAAAATGTAAAAAAACAAATTAACGACCATTATTATTTATTATACATGTCACATTTAACGTCTATTCATACGATAAATCGATAAGTATAGTGTATTCAGTACGCCAGTATAATGGATAAATTACACTCGTACATACCTACGGAGGATAATAAAAACCATGCATTAGAAATTACCCATTGGTCGTTTAATACTATTTTCTAGCGTAATATTCAGTAAGAACAAAAAGCTATGGCCTGTGTGACATAATTATGGACGATAGGAGTTACCTGTCAACAAAAATAGGCAGCAGGGCTTAGAACCTTTTAGATTTCAAAAATTTGGTTCTTGTTCCAAAAAATACCAGTATTTATAAATATATATTTTTTTAAATAAACTAAAATAATTCAAGTATAAATACAAATTTTGTATCTAAAATTAAAGGATCAATATTAGTAATAGTTGTTTCAATTGATTAAAGAAACTTAAATGAGTTTACTATTTCGAACATTTTGGTTATAAAAATTAAAAACTTCCAAAACAATATTTTAAAACCTGTGGTAATACACATTGTAACATGTGAACCACCCGCTACAGGTACTGGTGCAGATATCGATTTTATATACAATCAAAAGCTGTCTCTATCAAAAGTAATTTCATTGAACTACTAGACCATACTTTTGCAATTTATGCACGTGGCCAAGCGATCAACTTTATAATTTATTGTTCATGCTATTACTCATTTATCTTACTTGCTTAGTGCTTAGCATATTCTAAATTATGCGAATATTATACAACGGAACCTCGATTATCCGTGTTTGTGATTAATCGTATTCACTATTTTCCAAAAATTTAAAAATTTCAAACAGAAAATTTTTTACTCCCATGATGTTATTGGTTTAAAAGAAATTAGTAATAAAGTAAGAAAAATAATTTCAAACAAAAAAAAAAAAAAAACAAAGACTTATAACTTCATATTTTAAGCTCTAATACATGTATTGTATTTCTACTTTCTAGGTTCATTACATATTGTAAAAAAATTCATTATTATGAAAAGTCTTGATTAACCGTAGTTTTCATTTATCCGTGTGACCCCCATCTCCTCCATTGCCCCAGATATCGAATTCTACTGTATTTTATTATATGAGATATCATATACTATTTTATCTTATATTTATTAGTCTATGACATAATTTGATAAACACTTTAATATGAGCATATTTACGACTGTTTAATAATAATTTTATTAGTCATCGACGTCACTAGACGTCATCATCCGAAACTATAAATAAACTCTAAGGAAAAAATCATAGCAATGAGTAAGTAAATAACAGACGAACAAATATCAATTTATTTAATAATATTCGGTTGATTGCAGCTTATAAGTTATATTTAATCATTTTCTAGAACTTATAGGTACTAAAAATGATTTTAAATGTGGATGATATGTCAATCTTTACTACTAACTGCTATAGATATTTATACTACTTATAGTAATTAATTTTTCTATTATTAATACAATAAATAAGGTAGGTTGAACTAATTTTTACAAAAACAAATTACATAAATTATCATACTACTAGCTGTCATTAAATATTAATCAATACTGAAATGCCGTAAAACGGTTTGAATAGATTTATGGTATAAAATAAATGGATAAAAATTAATCAAAATATTTTGAAATATTATTATGCGTAAAAATTTAGTAGGTAATTAAGAATTGTTTCCAACAAAATAACTAAAATTATTGATATTTTTTGTTTAAAATTTTAATATACCCAAAGACTATACAATTAAAAAGATATTTTGTGTATTTTTTATTTTTAGGTTGCTATAAAAAAAAAACAAGAAAAAGGAAGTATGCAAAAAAACCTTTTATTCAATTCTCAGTTTTTAAAATATAATGCATTTTTAATTAAAAAATAATTTTCAAATTACCAGTATTTTTAATTTTTTTTTAATAACAACTAATGTGAAAACTTTGATTCAATTTTTAAATATAATAATGTTAATAATGTTTTATCAACACAAAAAACAAAAGTTTTAACTTTTTACCTATTTTTAAATTTGTAAATTTCAAATACCTATAAATAACTTAAATTATTCTAAATATTTTAATAGTAATGTATATAGATAATTATTAAAAAAATAATAATGGAATGCTTTACAATTTAAAAAATCGTTATAGAAGAATTTGTTATTTAAAGTGTGGCTATAAAATGTGACTGTCATTAAAATTTAAAATTTTAATATTATTATTATATAATAATATTTTATATAAAATATGTAGATCGATTCAATATATTTTTAAATTCCAGTGAAATATTTTATTTATTTATATTTATCTATTAAAAAGCTGCTAAAATATAATTGAAAACCATATTTTTAAAAACATGAGATTTTTTTTTGTATAACTTAAAAAATGTCTAATAGTGATGTATAATGTATAAATTTATGTTTTTCAAATGAAAAAACCCTTTTATACTGTACACTGCTAATACTTGGTAGATCATTTCGGAAGTATTTTTTCTTTCTTATTAACATTTTTGTATTAAGGATAATATTATATTGTATTCACTAAAACTGGTTTTAAAAAAATATAAAATTAATATGATATCCATATCAAATCAAGCAATTATTAT